AAATTTTGATTCTTTTTAGCTTTCTTTTTACTTTTCTATATATTAGTGACTTTCAAGTCATAGTCATTGTTTATTGTATAGATGACTTTTTAGCATCAAATTCCAAATTTAATATGATAAGAATTATGAATTATAAATTATAAATATAAATATCAAGATGTTAAAATAGATATAATAAAATTAGTTACTATCCCTTTCCAAATTTAACATGATAAGAATTATAAATTATAAATATAAATATCAAGATGTTAAAATAGATATAATAAAATTAGTTACTATCCCTTTCTAACAAACTGAAGTAGAGAATTAAGGGGATTATAAGTCCAAAAACCTAGACACCTTGTTTAAAGAACTTTCATTTTGTTGTCTAATTTATTTTTATTCTTTATTTTTGGGTACATATATTTTGCTCTTTATTGTTAATTATTTAATTGAGTTTAGTTTTTTTGATAGCATATAGATTTAAGTTCTAGATATGAAACTAAATTTTAGTTCTTTATTGTTATTTTAGATTATATTTAACTTTAGATTATAACAAACAATATTTTATTAAAATTTTACTAGCTTTATTTAAGTTTAAATTGAATGTAAATAATATTTTATTAAATTTTAATTTAAAAAAATTTAAACAAAATATAATTCAATAAATACATAAGCATATACTTGAAATTATCTAGTACTTATTAGGTTAAGTACTAAATATAAATCTCCAAAGATTAAGATAATTACCAAATTGAAAAAATTATATCTATAAATTTTTAAAAAATACCAAATATATTTTAGACCCAGCCCTAACCAAAAAAATGTTCACTCCTAGAATCATATGTGCAAAAAGGGGAAAACATTTTCCTATTTGAGCTTAATTCACTATTAGAAAAAGGATTAATTCAAACTAATCACATACGGATGGAATCATGTCGGTCTGTATAAGTTTAAATTCAGACCAATATCGCTCCGAATATGTTAAGGTGGTACGATATTCATTCATCAACATATTTTGACCGTTTTTGGTTCGTACATTTATGGCGAGAATTAATAGTGGAAACGCGACAATAATATTTAGACCGAAGACGGTCCGAATATTTTTTGGTAAAAAATAAATACTAAATAACAAAAAATTAAGAATAGAATATTATTTAAATGAATATATACAAACCATAATCGGTCCGTATATATAACTCAGAAAATGATGATTTTCATTTAATATTCGGATCGGTTTTGGTTTGAATATCCATAGATATTTAGACCAAAGCTGGTCTGAATATGTTTTCGTAAAAAATAAATATTAAATAACAAAAATTAGAAATAAAATATTATTTAAATAAAGATATATGGACCAAAATCGGTCGGTATATATCATGAGTAAAGTGCCAAGGTTCATTGAATTTACGGACCGTTACCAATCTGAATATTTATGGATATTCAGACCGAAATCGGTCTGAAAATAGGCGTTAGAGATTCCCTGAAACGATGAGACATTGGGACCCACTATCAGATTTATACAGACCGATATCGGTCTGTATATGGTTCCCCATGGCCTTTATCCTCGTAGCACTCGTCCCCTCCCCTTCTGCATTGCATTTGTGATTTTCCTTTGTTTTTTCTTCCTTTGTGCTGCAAGCTTCTCCTTCTCCAATCTCTGGCCAACCACAGAGGCAAATAACGTTTTCTCATCGGTTAGTGGCCGACGAT